ATGACGCGGCACGCACCGCTTTTCACGACAGATCCTAAGGAGATAGCTGTCCGGGAGATCAACTTTGACGCCAGGCAGGATCCATCGGTCGACGGGCTCGACGGGTGAAAACCACGAAGACCGCTGCGACCGCGACCGCTCCGAGCGGCGGATTGGAGCAGTTTGAAGCCGGATTGGAGCTGTTTTTGACACAGAAAATCGGAGTTTTCATTCGACATTCACCATCATGAATGAAGATAAGTTGTTTTTAGAACCCAGCCAACTTACAGACACTCTCTTGGATTTTGTTTTGTATTATTTTCTATATTTCACCAATTTCACCCTACTCAAAAAGAGGTGTCAAGCATGAGTATAAGCCTGCTCACTGGTCTCCTTTCACTCTCCTTTCTGCAGTGGCCTTCAGGCGTTTGATTGCTCGCACACCGTTGGCCAAAGCACCCAACCTTTTGCGAGAAGGACACCTCATTCGTGGTGTGGAGGCACCGGTCTGGGGTATGGATTGATCGTTTTTGTCGGATTGAAAAGCATACAGTGGCATACAAGGTGCGAAGCTTCAAAACTGCTTGAACACCCTATGACCTTTTCACAATTTATATGTGTATATTTAATGATCCCTGCCTGGCTCTTTCAGCATGCAGGTGCACTTTGCTATGCGCCTCGCGCCAGATGCGAGCCATCACATTTTCTCGTGCGCGGCCGAGCTCGCACGGCATTGCGCAGGGCATGGAAATGGGCAGATGTAAATCAGCTCTTTCTGTTGAGAGACGACAGTCCGACAGATCCAACCCATCTGCTTCGTCCGTTGAGGTGGTGGTTTCGTTTCGGAGATCGTAACATCCACGAATCCGTGTCTCCATCTCAGATTCTTTTGCCAGAACGGCCTGTTTTCACGGCCGTTTTCTGCTACGTTCGTACTTCAAGGGCATCGCGGCATTGCTACGGAACAAGAAGCTACTAGGGGCTCCTCGCATCGCTACTAGGAGCAAAGACACTTCTAGTAGCTCCTGGCCTTACTACTAGGAACAAGAAGCTACTATTAGTAAGGACGCCAAGAAGCGGCAGGTCCACCCCCGTTCCCAGCGGTCCCAGCTCGGCGCTTCCTGCGTGGCACCACCCAGGCTGTACTGGGATGAAGACTTCGAGCAGCCCAGCTGGCTCGGGCTCGTCGGGACTTTCGGGACTTCAGAATCGGCCCGTACCGTCGGTGATGTTCCGGGGTTTCCCCACGGAGACCCCAAATTTTGCAGGCGAAAAGACCTGAGTCAGCACGCTTTCGGGAATGCACTCCAAGACCAGAGTCAGCTTGGCAGTCGACTGTCCAACAGAAGAAATAATAGTCGAGTGGCATTTCAATCAGCAGAAGAAACCTGAAGCACCAAAGACAAGATCGCCGGATATCGCCGGAACATATTGCACTGGAGCCTTTGCTGAATCATCACGCAGATATGAAGGCGGGTTTCGCAGATACTTGTCGTGGTTTGACGATCGGAGAAAAGCGATAACATTAACCGATCTCAACATCCTGTGCCGAAAAAGGGCGCGAGTCGTGTAGGAAGATGTGGGAAAGCAGCGGGAATTCCAGGTGCATTGTGAAGATTTCTTGGGTAGGACAACACAAGAGGAAGCATGAAGTGCATCAGCTGCATCAGCTTGGGGTCCTCACCAAGGTATGGTTCCGACGAGGAGGCCCAGAGGGTCATTGACCATGATGACCATGCAACAACTTAAAGGCTGCGAAACTCACAAGGTGCGAAGATGTCTGGAAGAAGAGAAGAGAACGACTAATTAACTACAGCAGATAGGCAATTGTTTGGGCTTGGCAGACCTAGGTTGACCTTGGGGTCCTTGTGACGTCTTATGACTTGTTATGAGTCCTTTTATTTCATCTGAGTCCATCGCGCGATGAGTCATGAGTCTTGTTGAAGCGTTTCATCGCGCAGATGGCTTCGTGCTCTTCATGCTCCGGCTTCTTGGAAGAAGCTGCTGTATTCACTGTGAACAGTGGTCCATAGGGTGTCCGTGTGGTGTGAACATACATGTCCCATATACCAGCAGAGGTTGAAGAACCCGAACTAGACTATCCCATAGGTACCCCAGGTTACGGGTCCTATTTACGGTCGCTTAACCCATAAGGTCACTTCACCTCTGACAAGGCATTTACTCACCATCATCATCCACTGTTACAGGTAAGAGGATAGACTCAACCCATATATATATATATAAGTGTCCATAGCGTTTATCATCAGTCTTGCCAGTCTTCGGGCCGCGCATCATCCGGGAGCCGGATTTCTTTGTGGAACCGTTGAGTTCAGACCCAGGATGGTTGATGGATAAAAACACCCTTATATAATTAGTTCTTTTGATGTTCTTTGTACAAATTCTGCTTGGCAATCTTCAGGGTTGATTTGGAATGATGTAGTTGAGATATTTGGCTCTTTTGTATTGGTTTTGATCTCTGCTTGCTTTCATTCAGCAATTCATTCCCTCTTGAGCTGAGGCGAAGCTGCTGGCTAGGCCACTCACCAGCGATTGACCGAAAAAAGCCGATGAAGGCATGACGCCAAAGCAAAGATGAATTCAGGATGAAGAGAGCAAGGTTCAATAAATAATTACACGGCTTATCTTTTCAATGGTGGTTTTATTTGCTTGCTTGCTTGCTTGCTTGCTTTCTTGCTTGTTTGTTTGTTTGTTTGTTTTCCTTGGATTCTGTACTCGCACGAAATGAAACGCTTCTGACAGCCGACTGCTGACTGAAAACGTCCTGCCTACGAGAAACGCTCGGCGAAGAGGAAGTGGCTTTCTTGCGAGAACGCCGTGCCGTGTGTCATTCGTGGGCAGGTGGACACTCGCGTCATTGATGAACTTCACGGGTCAAGATGCACGAGACCCAGCTGTGTTTCGGTGGCCATTAAAAGGATAGACGGGACATGCCATGTGAACATCGCGAAATGTATGACATGTACATGCTAGCGAGGCAGACTGACAGGCAATGCAGGAGACTTTGTTTGTTGTCATATGTATGCGCTCCACATTTGAGACAATATCAAGATATAACAAGTGCCAATCCTTTTCTAAAGCAATTTGTCTCTTGCGCGGACTGGTGAGCACTTGGTGCCTGCTAGTGGCGCTCCAGTTGATTGCTTGATCTTGAAAAGGTTTGTGGTTGCTCAGTCAAAGGCCTGCAGGATGACACATCATGACGGGGAATTGGAGATCCGACGCTGCTAACAGCAGATGAGGACCTTTAGACTTGACGATCTTTCTGAGAGGCCTTGCAAGTGGGCCTTGGATCATGACTTGATTTACTTGTCCAGCTAAATAGGCATCAAGACAAGCGATCAAATGACCCGACTTTCTAGGATAGAGGTGCCAGGATATATATATATATATATTAAGGAAGAACTTCGTCACAAACCACATGTGATTAATTATGTGCTCCGTACATTGTAGGAGCATGTATCAACGTCCTGCCATGGCAGACATTCAAGTGGACAGAAGCGATGTTGAATGACATGTATAGGCTGTATAGGATTCAATGTTGTAGTCTGGGATCAATGCTAGCGAGGCAGACTGACAGGCAATGCAGGAGGCTTTATTTGTTGTCAAGTGTATGCGCTCCACATTTGAGACAATAACACGATATAACAAGTGCCGATCCTTTTCTAAAGCAATTTGCCTCTTGCGCGGACTGGTGAGCGCTTGGTGCCTGCTAGTGGCGCTCCAGTTGATTGCTTGATCTTGAAAAGGTTTGCTCAGTCAAAGGCCCGCAGGATGACACATCATGACGGGGAATTGGAGATCCGACGCTGCTAA